ATTTTGCATCGTTTTAAGTTCACCCTTTTCATCCAATATTTCCCCATATCTAACTGTTTGTTCCTTCTTATATGTTATAGGATAAGAAAAAGCTTCAATAGTTGATAACCAAACTGGGATTTTCAAATAATATTGTCTCTTAATTTTCTCCCAGTTTAACCATAAATACTCCTGTATATAATGCCTTCTAAAATAGCCCTGCGATTTAGTTCCCTTATACCACAGAAAAGCTTGCCAGCCAAGTAATAGATCATGTCCTTCTAGTGTCAACAATCTAGTCTTTCTTAATGTTATCCATTCTTTGGCCCACATCAAATTTGCAGCTTGATAATACAACTCCCAATTAGGAAGGCCAAATCCTCCTCTAGTTCTAGCATCTTGTAAAAGTTTTAATTTTATTCTCGCTTTCTTACCTTGCCATATATACTTTAACACAATTTTATTTAAATCTTCAAAATAATCTTTGCCAAGCCATTTGGTATTGTTTGGAACAGATATAAAATTCTGGGTAAAATATTCATCTTGATTGTTGAAATTCTGCCTATCAATGACAGTTGTAGGTTTTCCCATTTCTTCAGATCAAGTGCTATCTGCTGTTTGAGTTTAATATAATTATTCTCTTTCAATGTAGTGCATCTTGACGTCAAGTATATCCCCAAATACTTAACCTTATTCATAACTTGAATTTTCAATAAGTCTGCCAGTTCTTCTCTTTGTCTTAATAATATTAAGAATGATTAACATTAAGAAGATTCTTTGTCAGAATCTTTGTTTTATCTTTATTTATTTTCAAACCAGCCATCTCACTGTATGTCTCTATCTTTTCCAACAGTTTTAAAGCTGTCTCTAGAGGATCTTCCAGATTGAAAACCAAATCATCCGCAAAGGCTTGTAGTTTAAATTCCTCCTTTTTGATTTTCATTCCTTTTATATTTTGGTCCTCTCTAATATTTCTATTCAACACTTCCAAAGTCAATACAAATAGCAAAGGTGATAATGGGCATCCTTGTCTTGTGCCTTTTCTTATGTTAATAGAGTCTGTAAGTTCTCCCTCTATCATTAATTTTGCTGTTTGCTTATAGTATATGGCTTCTATTGCTTAAATAAATTTTCTGGCAAAACCCATCTGTTCCAGTAGTAGTAACATAAATCTCCAGTCACATTATCAAATGCCTTTTGGGCATCTAGGAATATCAAAGCCATTTGTTTTTTAGGATGTGCCTCATAATATTCCAAAGTGTAAGATAATTCAAGATAATTCTTGAAGTAGAAACACAAAAACAGAAAAGGCATTTCTGTCCTAGAAGTTCAAAGAGGAACTATAAAGAGGAGAACTTTAAAAATAAATATTTGATGGAGAAAATAGCATAGGCAAATTCAGCAGAAAAGCAAAAAAATAGGATACTGTGTGAGCAAATGACCCTTCTAGAATGGGGATTTTTTTCTCTTTAAATGTGGAGAGGAAGACTATATTGCATCACTGTTTGGTTTGATGCCTCAGACAGAAAGTATCTACAGAGAATGGTAAGGACAGCCAAGAAGATCACAGGATACTGCTTATAAGCACTATGTGCTTAGAGCTCAAAGCATCATTAGAGACCCCACACACCCACTTCACAGCCTGTTTCTGTTGCTCCCCTCTGGGAGGAGGTTTCAAAGTATTTCTAGTAGAACCTCCAGATTCTGTAAGGGTTTTGTTCCCTATGCCATTCATCTGGTAAACTAGCAAGATTATTTTTTCTTGTCATGTACAGGTATACAGTACATTTGAAGTAGACTGTGTTGTTTCTCTGTGTCATATAATATATGTGGATATATGCATAATTCTGTATTTATTTATTTTGTTATATTTATATAACTTGTTGATTATATTGTTTATATTTATATAACTTGTTGATGATCCAAACTCTGTCAAGGACCTTGGAGTACTCATCTCTAATGATCTAAGTGCTAGAGCCCACTGTAACTACATAGCCAAAAAGGCATTAAGAGTTGTTAACTTAATCCTACATAGCTTTTTCTCTGGTAATATCTGGTACTAACTAGGGCCATTTGCCAGACCAATACTTGAATACAGCTCATCAGTCTGGAACCCGCATTACGTATCTGATATTAACACAGTTGAGAAAGTCCAAAAATATTTCACAAAAGAGTTCTACACTCCTCTACTCGTTGCAGAATACCTTATGCCACCAGACTCGAAATTCTAGACCTAGAAAACCTAGAACTATGCAGTCTTCAGTCCAATCTAAGTATGGTATATAAAATCATACATTGCAATGTCCTACCAGTCAATGAATACTTCAACTTAAAGCATAACAATACAAGAGCAAACAATAGATAAAAACTCAAGGTTAACCGCACCAAACTTGATTGCAGGAAATACGACTTCAGCAACAGAGTGGTCAATGTCTGGAATACTCTACCTAGCTCTGTGGTTTCTTCCCCAAACGCCAAAAACTTTAGTCTTAGACTTTCTACTATTGACCTCACCCCTTTTCGAAGAGGTCTGTAGGGGGTGTGCATAAGCGCACCAAAGTGCCTACCATCCCCATCCTATTGTTTCTTTTATTTTTCTTATATGTATCCATTTCATGTATTCATAACTATGTTTATCCTTATACCTATTGTCTTGTAAGCAATTGACAAATCAAATAAATAAAAATAAAATAAAATATGTAGTGTATATTGGAGGTGGTGACCTTTTCAGAAGTGTATGCAACAAAATTTCATTTTAATGTATGCTGATTAATTCAAAGTGACAATAAAGTTATTCTGTTCTATTCTATTCTATTCTATTCTATTCTATTCTATTCTATTCTATT